CCATGGTATTTTCAATAACCTCATAAGCATGCGAAAGCTGGACAGTGAATAAAGAAGATCAGAGAAGAATTGACGCCTTTGAGTTCTGGTGAATACTGAAAGTGCCATGGGCTGCCAAAAGAACCAACAGATCTGTGTTAGAAGTACAGCCAGAGTGCTCCTTGGAGGCCAGGATGGCCAAACTTCAGCTCTCATACTTCGGATATATTGTCAGGAGAGACTAGTCACTGGAGAAGGATATCATGTTTGGTAAGGTGGAGGGTCAGAGAAAAAGAGGAAGACCCCCAGTGAGATGGATTGGCAAAGTGGCAGAATCAATGGGCTCAAGCGTGGCAACAATTGTGAGGTTGGCCCAGGACCAGGCAGTGTTTCATTCTGTTGTTCATATGGTCACTATGAATCGGTACCAACTCGATGGCACCTAACAACAACAACAACAAATTTTCAATCCTACAATGCCCATTTGGTTCTTTCTAAAAACTTATTTTTCATTCACACAATTTCCTTTTTATTCATTGAGATAATATGCTCTTTTACAACATCAAGCATAGTTATTATATCTATTTTTAAATCCCTATCTGCTTATTTGAGTCATTGTGGAAGAGGCCTCCACTAAAATTGAGATTGGATCACATTTTCTTGATTCTTCATATGCCAACTAATTTTAGATTGTATCTTGGATGCTGTGATTGTTATGTTGTGAAGAATCTATATTCTATTTATACTCCTCTTAAAAAATGTTGATTTTTATTTTTTAAGCAGGAAATTAACCTGCAGACTCTGTCTCTGGGATAGTAGCTCAAATCTCAGTTCAATCTTATTTTCTTTAGTGGGGCTGCTTTGAGTCCTCCATGAACATGTGTGGGTCAGTTTAGTTACAAAATTTAGGGTTCTCCCTTTCTGGCCCTTTCTTTACTGAGAAACTTTACTCACCATCCAACAGTTATAGACACCTGGAAGGCTTCAGACCAGAAAATTGATGAATTTTCTATGAAATGTTTACCCATCCCATGTTGCTCCCAAATGCAGCCTGCTGCCAAGTCCAAAAGCTGTAAAAAAAAAAAAAAGGAAACTTACAAGATGTCATTCCCTTTTACATGTGTCTACACCCATCCAGAATATTCCTAATTCTGTTTACATTTCAATGCCTTTAAGAAGTTGTTTCTTGCATTTTGTCAAGTTTATTGTTGTTTGCAGAAAAGTTCATGTAAGCTTAGTTGGTCATAACAGAAGTAAAGCAGCTAAAATATGTCTGAATCTGAATTTCATGGGAAAATGTAAAAAGAGAATGCATACCTAGCCTGTTTCCACCACTACAAATTTTAATTTTTACTATTCTTTATTGAAATTGTTTCTTAATGAATAATTTTTTAAAACTTTACAAGTTAAGATAATAGAAAAGGACCCATGAAAATCTGAGACAAGGCCTTGTTTAAAAAATACTGGATATATTTGAAGCAATAACACTGAGCCTGAAACTATATTGATTAAAAAAATGCATAATTAAAGACAGGTAAATGTCTCAGGCAACATGTTTTTAGTAAAGAACTCAGTAGGATTTGTTATCGTAATATCCCAGAATTTTAATGTGGAAAGAACTAGAGGAATCATCTACCCCAAACTACTCATTACTGTCTATAAATGAATAATTCACTGATTCATTAACTAAACATTTACTGAATGCCTATGGATTATGTGCCAATCACACCATCTGTTCTCAGACGTACTGTGATGTTTACAGAGTCTGTTTTCTTAGTTATTTTACACTTTGTCCCTCAACATTATTTGTACTATTAATTTTCACTATGAATAATGTGTCAGCTAAACAAAATTGTGTCTCAGACATTAGCCAAATGATAACAAATGCTTGATCAATGAACTCTAGTTTTATAAGATTTTGCTAGATTTATTTTTCTCTCACTGAAAAATATTATAATATAGAATGTAAGATGACATTTTGTGGGCCAGGCCTGGATGTTATAATGGTTTGATATGTGTTTGATATCATTCTAACATCTGTCCATTCTTATTTGTAGCCAGCTGCCAGTGAAAACATCAGTTTCTTGGAAGGATGAAATGATTCTTTCATTCATAGATGGAATATTTATAAATGCAAATGGAATTCAGATCGTAGTCTGTAGTTCTATGACTGAAATTGTTGACCTCCAAGCAGACCAGGAGCAATGAGGAGACAATCACGATCATACATATTCAATTCCTCTTAGCTAATAATCATAATCATTTCAAATGAAATACATATACTAAGGTCCCTAGGTGGTTGGGTTTGTGTTTGACTATGAACCTAAAGGAGTGCTGGTGTGGTGTTGGACCACAAAGTGGTTGAAACTCACCAGCCACACTTTGGAAACCCTAAGTGCCGCTGAGTTGCTTCTGACCCATAGCAACTATGAGTCAGATCTGACTTGAAAGCACTTAATAACAATAAGAAGTGAACCTAAAGTTTGGGGGTCAAAATACCCCAAGCAGTACCATGGAAGACAAAGCGTAGTGAGCCGCTTCTGTTAAGATTTCCGCCAAGAATCCCATATGGAGTCTCACTGCTTTCTAACATGTGAGGTTGTCGTGAGTCAGAATTGACTTGATAGCACATGGTAGATAATCAATCCCATTACAAAGTCTGGAGAACTAACATCTCATATAGTTAAGCCCATCATATTAGAAAGTGCCGATAACTTCTACAATATTCCTAAGAAACTGTTACTCAATAAATGCTTATACAGTGAATAAATTGTTATTCTGATATCAGAACCACATTAAAATTAGGAAAAATTGTTAATATTGTAGAGGAAACAGGAAGCCTAATGAGAAACTAAAATATTTCTAGAGTATGTATTTTCAGCATCAGTTTTTACTTCTGATCAATTATTCTACTACTCTGGTAAAGATTTGCACAATTACTTCTGTTTACATGTTATTTATTTTTTTTAATCCTGTTCCATAATGTGAACTTGGTAGGCAACTAAGTGCAGTATAATTTTACTTGCCCACAATGAAGCGAACTTTCATATTAACAATTAATCAGAACTGAAAGGAATCCTAAAATATCTGTATCACTTGTCAGCAGTCCAAGTATCTATCTTTGGTGTGACGCTGCAAGATTAAACCCTTTTATTCTAGAAGAATGAGGAGAACAATTACAAAGTAAACAATTCTCAATATAGATATGGAGGAAATTTGGGCACATTGTTAGTGGTTAGCAATGAATGAAAAGTTTTGATGTAGGATAAAAGAGAACAGAAATTATATAAAAGTTAATTTCCAATTCTTCAATGTTAACAAAGCAGAAGAGGAGAAAATTAGATGTTTCATTTTAGAGTTAAAGATTTTAAACTTAATATTGCTTTCAGATTCAAAATTTACACTGAACATTTCAATTACCCTATGTGACACGTGAAATGATTATTCTTTCAGACAGAAATAAAATATCTAGCATTTTTAAAAAGATTTTCTTTTGTATTTTGGATTGCTGTAACTAATTTAGAGTTATCTTAGTTTCCTTATTAAAACTTTTTAATGAAAGTTTTATCTTACTAAGAACAAGTTAATACTGTGATCACTTCCATTTACAAAACTTGAGTAACACAATTATATAGTTAGTATGCCATGGTTTTTGTATGTTCCAAACCACAGTAACATACAATCTGTCTCATCACAGAACAAAACCAAGCGGCCTTTTGTTCAAGCCACAGCCAAGAGATCAGAACAGTGTTATGTGTGTTTGCTAGAAATCGCTGCCATTTTATGCACTCCACAGGAGACCTGTCATCTCTAGAACAAGCCTATTCACCACCAGCTATCAAATTCAAGACCCTCACAGCACCTACTCTGAATGACTGTGTATTCACAGCTGAAAGCTTCCTTCATACATTTATTGTGAGCTACAGACAGCAAGAGACCAATAGAACTGCAAAAAAAAAAAAAAAAAAAAATCCCACCTCATTAGCCAACACACTAATCTCCTTTCATTGACTAGTCCTGAATTCGATATACCCGGTGTGATTTTTCAAACAGCATCACAAAACATTTTGCTTGTGATCCATAGGAGGAAACCCTACAGAGGGCGCGCGATGAGGAGGAGAAAAGGAAGGAGATCACCAGCCATTTCCAGAGCACCCTGACGGACATCCAGACCCAGATTGAGCAGCAGAGTGATAGGAATATGAAGCTGTGTCAAGAGAACACGGAGCTCGCCGAGAAGCTGAAGAGCATCATCGATCAGTATGAGCTCCGAGAGGAGGTGAGAACCACATCAAACAAAGTAGCAAACAGCAATGATCTGGATCTAGGCTGTGAAGGTGGGGAACTCGCTCAGGACCGAAAGGCAGGCCCTCTCAATTGATTAATATTTTGGATTGGATTTCTATGGCATGCCTAAATAAAGACAGATGATATTACAAAATACTTTGCTGAATAGTCAGATAGGATTTCTTTGAACTGGGAAGCAAAGGTTCTAATTGGGAAGTGATAGACCATGGTTGCATTTTTCTTCAAAGACTAACTTCTTAGCTTTTTGAAACCCCCATTTATATTGTTGCTGTTGTTAAGTGACATCAAGTCAGTTCCGACTCATAGCAACCCCATATAGCGTTTCCAAGGAGTGGCTGGTGAGTTTGAACTGCTGACCTTCTGGTTCAAACCAACCTTGCAGTCCAGTGCATTATCCCACAGCACCACACCAGGACTCCTATTTATATAACTCCCCAAAACATCTCACACGCTCCTTGTTATGATGCACCAGGTCATCTAAATTAAGGATCTATATTCTACATACCTTACAACCAATAATAACATTATTGATTATGCAATAATTATAATAATCAGGGTATTGTTTATTCACTGCTTGGTTTGTGCCAAGCAATGTGGTTCAGTACTGTACTTTACATACATTATGTTATTACGAATCTCAAAAAGCATAAAGTAGTAATGTATTTTCACATGCTATAAGGAGCTCTGGTAGCGTAGTGGTTACGAATCGGGCTGCGAACCTTAAGGTCAGCAGTTCGAAACTACCAGCCGCTCCGCAGGAGAAAGATGAGGCTTTCTACTCCTGTAAAGATTTACACCCTCGGAAACCCTGTACAGGGTCGCTATGAGTCGGAACCAACTTGACGGCACTTAACAACAACAACAACAACAATAGATGAAGAAGACTTCCTGGTGTGGCACCGTAGGATCAGCACTATACTGTGAACCACATGGTCACCAGTTCAAACCCACCATGCTCCTTGGAAACCCTACATAGGGTTGCTATGAGTCAGAAGTGACTCTACAGTACTTAGCAACCACAACATAAAGCAGAGACTTCCACATTCACTAAGGCCAAAAGATTTTTACTTTCCATAGTGTATATTTGGATGAATATAAAAGATCTTTTGTTATCCCAAAATTATATTATTTGATGAACCGATTAGATGACACTTAACAATATGCTTTTAAACTGCAGATGCACCAGCCCCCAAGCCAGGATTTTGACATCTCTTATTCTTTTCCTCAAGAAACCCTGGTGGTTCTTGGGGAAACAGTTAAGCACTGGGCTCTTAACTAAATGGTTGGTGGTTCAAACTCACCCAGTGGCTCGGAGGGAGAACGACCTGGCAATCTGGTCCCATAAAGATTGTTGTTCAATTCCAACTCACAGTGACCCTGTACAGGGTTTCTGAGGAGTGACTGGGGAGTTTGAACTGCTGACCTTGTGGTTCTAACCAGCCTTGAGGTCTAGTGCTTATCGTATGATGCCACACCAGGTCTCTAACCTAGAAAACTTTATGGGATAGTTCTACTCTGTCACATGATGTCACTATGTGTTAAATACACTCATTCTTTCCTCCAGACCCACCAGATTTAAAACTCTGCTTTAAAATGTCACAACATAATCAAAGTGGTTCTTTTGGCTAAGATTTTATCAAGAATGAAACTGAGCCCCTAGCATATGGAAGCAGCAGTTAGGTGAATCAAGAAACACATCACATTTTATCTTGTACCAAAAATGAGCTCAGTTCTAGAGTGGAGGCTCAGACTGAAGGAGAAGGGAGAAAGGGACAAGCTATAGGGAAAATGCCGTGGCTCCTCAGAGATCTCAGATGGGACATCCAGGACAGGCTCTGTACCCTACTTCTCTATTCCCAGAACGCGTCTAGATACGCTTACAGACTGTTGTTAAGTGCTGTATAGAATGTCTCAGTACTGGGCTGCTAACCACCAGTCTTGTACTCAGAAACCCCACACAGTACTTATCCATGCCAGGACTCCCCAAGTCCACATGCCCATTTCCAATGAGGAACTCGTAATCACCAAGAAATTTTCCACATGGGGATTCAGTTAAGGAGACCTTGCGGCTCAGCAGCTACGCTCTGAGGTTCAAACTCATCAGCCGCTTCTCAGGAGAAAGACAAGACTGTCCTTGTAAAGATTACAGTCTCAGAGACCCTATATAGAGTCACTATGAGTTGGACTCGACTCTATAGCAGCAGATTCGGGTTTTTGGGTCTGAGTTCCTGTTAGAAGCTCCTCTTCACAAAGCAAGTCAAGAAGGGTCCAGGTGTAGAAGAGGCAGCAACCTATTTGCATTTTAATTCATCTGTGATCCGGAGCCTCCCTCACAGGCCTAGAGCCACATGTGGGCGCCCTAGAACTTCCACACAACCTTAGAATCAAAAATGTGGAGGGGACTTCACAATGATAAATTATATTAATGTAGTGATTACAATTGGCTTCAGATTCATAGAAACAGCCAAGGTGTTGAGCGATTGTATTACCCTTGTTGTTCAGTAAACCAGGTGGCATTATATCTAACCATGGCCAATTTTAGAAAAATAACTTGGGGAACTTTTGACAGTAACACTGCTGAGCTCCGGCACCCCCACCTTTTGCAGCTGCCTTGTGTAGTGCAAACTATAAAGGGCTTCACCAATTTACAACTTTAATATGAGGCATATATAATGCCAGTGCATTCATTTCCTCCTCTTTCTTTAAGTTAAAGCCTAGAGAAGGTTCATTAGAATATTATTATTATTTTACATTTTTCAAGTGCCAATGATACGCCAAGTTTCATGTGTGTCCTTTATTTTTCTTTAGCATCTGGACAAAATATTTAAGCACAGAGAACTGCAGCAGAAGCTGGTGGATGCCAAACTTGAGCAGGCGCAAGAGATGATGAAGGAAGCAGAGGAGCGTCACAATCGCGAGAAGGAATATGTACTTATCACTGCAATCCGTGTGCAGATCTGCTCTGCCTTAGTGTCAAAGAATGCCTGAGAAAGTGGTGTTTGATAACTGTGCAAGCACCTGTGCGTTGGTGGAGAACGAAATTTGTCAGCCAGTACAAAGCATCTTGGTATGGCGTGGTGGGTTAATGTGCTGGACTGCAGTCAGTTTGAACTGCAAGGTCTGTGGTCCAAGCTCACCAGACACTCCTCAGAAACCCTGTACAGGGTCGCTAGGGGTCAGAACTATCTAGAATGGCACTTAACAACAACAACAAGGCATTCTGCCACAGTATATGTAACATAAAATAATCATGCATTTGGTCATCATACATGATTAAGGGGCATTGGTGATTGGCCTTCCATGTGAGATAGCAGGGTTCAACTTGTGGCCAATGTACTTTGTGCAAAGCCACCAGTCATCTGCCAATGGAGGCAGGCATTTGTTATGATGCTGAACAAGTTGCAGTGAGCTTCCAAGGTGATATAGACTAGGAAGAAAGTCTTGGTATTGTACTCTCAAAAATCAGCCCAAGTCAGTTCTGACTCATAGGGCCCCTACATACACATCATGCAGCCCACCAATCATGCAGCCCACCAATCATGCAGCCCACCAATCATGCAGCCCACCATGGGGATGGCATAGGACCCAGCAGCGTTTCGTTCCGATGTGCATTGGGTCACCAGGGGTCCGGGGCCACCCCAACAACTAACAGCAATCATAGAGTAGGGACAGGGGACACAGTAATGAACAAGACACAGGAGGACTACCACTCATTATAGAGATGAGTTAAGTAAGGAAGAGAGAGGCAATGAGCAAGTAAACAAACAATGAAAGGTAATTTCAGATCCTGGTGTGGCGCTGTGGGTTAATGAGCCAGACTGCAAAGCCATTTGAACTATAAGGTCGGCAGTTCAAGCACACCAGTTGCTTCTCGGAAACCCTGTACAGGGTCGCTATGGGTCGGAATTGACTCGATGACACTTAGAAACAACAGCAGGGAAATAAGGAATCCTTGTGTGGTGCTGTGGGATAAAGCATTGGCCAGCAAGGTCAGTTTGAACCACAAGGTCAGCAGTTCAAACTCACCAGCTGCTCCTTGGAAAGCCCATACAGGGTTGCTAAGAGTCAGAGCCAACTCAACATCACTTAACAACTACACCAACAGGGAAATAAAGGAGCTTGCATTAGACTTCTAACTGCAAGGTTAGCATAGAGTCTCCATGGGAGAAAGATGAGGCTTTCTGCTCCTATAAAGATTTATAGCCTCAGTAACCCTATACAGGATCCCTGTGGATTGGGACCCACCCTACGGCACACCACCACCACCACTAGAAGAACTGAGAAATAAAGACCCGAAAAGGACAAGGCAGGATAGGATTGACTAAGTCGGGGAGTAGGAAAGCCTCCTGCAGGGGAGGGTGAGTGAGTGGAAACCTGCCTGATGAGAGGCAGCCTCCAGCCTCCACATCTTCAGGAGGAACAAGGCCCTGACGTGGAAGCCAGCAGAACTGAGGGAAACAAAAGCGCAGTGACCAAGTGGGAGAGCCTCGTGAAATGAAGTTGGGGCCAAACTGTCTAGCTCTTCAGGGCTTGGGAAGTAATTTGGATTTTACTTTAAATATAGTGGGAAAATGCTGGATAGTTTTAGTAAGGGAGATGATATGTTATGCTTAGCATCTGTAAAAGTAATTTGGCTCCTGGGTGGAAAAGAGACTAAAGAGATACAAGTGTGAAAGCAAGAAGAGAGCTCAGGGTATGATGAGGGGCTAGGTGAGGGAGGTGGCAGTATAGAATGGAAGATGGAGATGGAGAAAAGGTAAGGTTGCAAAGTAAAATCAAGAGGCATTGCTGATGGATTGAAGATGGTGATTGTGAGGAAAAGGAGGACCCAGGATGACTTCTGAGCTCTTTGGATTAAGAAACTGAGTGGTAGTACTTACTGGTAACTCACTCCCACCAGACACACCAAAACAGCTGTAAGGTGAGAGAGAAATGAGGTTCAGGGAGAATATATAACTTGTTTAAAGTCACACAAAGCTAAGTGACCAAGATATGTTTCAAACTCAAGCTCTCTGAGACAGTACTTTACACTCAGAGAGAGGGAGAGAGAGAACTTTTGCAAACTCACTTTTTAAAATTTGGCCATTTACTATTCGGTCATGAACTTGTCATTTACTTAAAACCAGCCCACATTACTATTACTAGTCTAATACCTAATCCTTCAATTATTAGAATAGTAATCTGAAAAATAATCTCCGTTTTCCAACATCATAAAGAAAGGGAGAATTTTGGAACACCTAAGCTGGCATGTATTTAGTATTTTCAAATTAGAAGTCCATATGCTTTTAAGAAAAAGATTAATTTATTAAATCCATATACAACTTAGCCTTCAAAGTAAGAAATAAAACATTTACAACCTAGCCTTCAAAATAAGAAATAGAATGTTTCATTATTATTCAAAATCCAAAAAATATATACTACACTGCACTGTTAGCATAGTTATCCTCCTAGGTAAATTATATGTCAGACAGGATATAAGTGCAGTACAAAACCTTCCAAAACATTTCCTCTCAGTTATGTTTCTGTATTATGTGAATCACTGAGATGATACGTAAACTAATGAAATGTGATTCTTAAATGAGTGTTGCTATGAAAATTATGCTCAATGCTTTGAAAGCTGGCTATTCTTGTTAGGTGCAATCAAGTCAGTTCTGACTCATAGGGGCCCTACATACAACAGAGTGAAACACTGCCCAGTCCTGCACCCGCCTCACGTTGTTGCAACCACGACTGCTCATCTCACTGAGGCATTTTTTTTCACTGACTTTACTGAGCATGCTGTACTTTTCCAGAGACTGGTTGCTCCTGATAACCTGTCCAAAGTATGGGAGACCGTGTCTAACCATCTTCTCTTCTAGGGAGCATTTGGCTGTCTGTCTTGCAAGACCAATTTATTTGTTCTTCTAATAGTTGATGGCATGATCAATATTCTTTGGCAACACTGTAATTCAAAGACATCAATTCTTATTCAGTGTTCCTTAGTCATTGTTCAGCTTTCCCATGCAAATGAGGCCATTGAAAACACTTTGGCTTAGGTCAGGAGCTCCTAAATCCTCAAGGGGACATCTTTGCTTGAAGCTTTAAAGAAAACTTTAAAACACTGAAATTTATTTTTCAATCAAGTTGCTTCAAGAGTATTTTTAGATTCTAGCACAATTTTTTTTTTTTAAGTAAATAACTAGAGATCTTAGATGTCATGTTATGGATGTGATTTTTGTCACAAGGCAACTCTGAATGTCAATCAGAAGAGCCAAACCCATAACAAAGTCTACAGCCCTAAAACAGAAGATTGACATGCGATTGAACATTTTTCTATTTTAAATTAAATTAATGTTGTTAATATCATTTTCATGCCTAAAACAACTTTTTCAATGTAACCCATCAGTTTCCAGTTCTGGACATGTTATATTCAAGGACCTTGATTGTATTTAAAGAGCTGCCTTGTGGGAGCAGAATGAAACCTATTTTGTAAATTCCCAGAGGGCAGGCTTTGGAACAATAAATCAAACTTCTAACCCAGTGCATTTCAAAAGGCAACCCTTAGATCACCTGGTGTATTTGCTATAAGTGAAGCTTTCAAATTTACCCTTTTACTTCCTGAATCATGTTCTCTGAGTGGAGCCTACATTTAAGATACTTTGTTGTGATTCCGATGCATACTATGATGGCAAACAATGGTTTAGGAGAATAGTTTGGAGCTTAATATAAAGGAAGCAGTTGCTCACACAATGCGCAAGGATTATTATCCTGGTGGGCAGTGATGTTGTAGAGATGTTCCAACCGAGGCTAAGCGATGGCTGACCATGACTGCTGGATTGTTGTTTTTCAGTGCTGTTGAGTCAGTTTTGACTCTTAACGACCCTATGTAATGTTTCCTAGGAGGAGCTGGTGGGTTTGAACCGCTGACCTTCAGGTTCCTAAATTTGTGGGAGGTTGAAAATTGTGTGATTCATGCTTCCATTAGTAGCTATTTTTGCATTGGTGGTGGTTGGTGGTTATGTGTTGTGGAGTCGGAACCGACTCATAGTGACCCTGTACAGGGTTTCCAAGGCTGTAAATCTTTACAGGAGCAGAAAGCCTCATCTTTCTCCAGGGGAACAACTGGTGGTTTCAAACTGCTGACCTTGCGGTTCGCAGCCCGATTCATAACCACTACACTACCAGAGCTCTTTTTTTAAAAAAAAAAAAAAAAACATTCAATCTTTTAGATGAATTATTAGCTCTGATTTTTTTTAGATTCTTTGTGGCATTCCAAAATAAATGACTAAATAGGGTTACTGACTTTTGCGTACTAGTTATAACGGGGCAATAGCATAAAAGACAAGTTGACAGTCTTCCCATGTATCCTCTCTTCTCACAGCTCCTGAACCAGGCAGCAGAGTGGAAGCTGCAGGCCAAGGTGCTAAAGGAGCAAGAGACTGTCCTACAGGCTCAGGTGATGTGGGGGCAAATTGTGTGTGGGGTGTGCTTTCTGTACTCTTCCCAGATAAAGAGCTTGTGAGCCACAGGGAGTCAGCAGAAGGCCTCACATGTAAGGGGTAAGGGGAGATAGGAGTTGGAAATGAAGAATAACTTCATGTTTATTATGTAAAATAAAAGCACAATATTATAGCTTCATAGAACAAGAAATGCTCTGTGCCAACGACATCCAGTCAAAATCAGGGATAGCAAAAGGATTGGTGCTACCCAGTGTGGTTACCCATGGTGTCACACCCTGTGGGCAGAGCCACCAGGGAAACCCTCTGGTGAGCTAGTGCTCTGGCCCCACCCTCACATAGGGCTGAGCAAAGCCGTGGGGGGGCCCTGCCCAGATCAGTCCATCCTTCATGGCTCCCCTTCGCCAAAATAAAGATTTTCCTCTCTGCACAATGGGGGTGTCCACCACACCCTAACTAGGGGCTGATGGTAGCGGTAAGTTACCGAACTACCTACACCCATGTAGTATTTGTTTACATACAAATGCACCAGTTGCTGTAAAGTTGATCCCAGACCTTTCTTCTGAGGTACCTCTGGGTAGACTTAAAACTTTAATTTGGGGTTAGCAGCCAAGAGCATTAACTGTTTGCACCTTGAAGAGACTCCTTACATAGAAATGATGCCCCCCAAATCATCAGGATACGTTGATGTCGAACTTTCCTTCAACATGTTCTTACTTCGTCTCTCTCTTCCCCCATTACTATATGAAGGTAAGACTAAAATGTCAACTGGTCAGATGCACTGTTTCTAAGTGTCGATACTTCAATGCCCTCAGGGTTTGATATTACTTATAATAAAGAGGAAATGAGAAAAGTAGTCAGTGCCCAAGTTTCCTTGCTATCTGAAGTCAGCCTGGTCAGTGGTAAGTCATTAGAAAGAATGAGCAGAGCAGTAAGCATTTTTATTTGGCATTTGGTTGCCATATATGTTTTGTCATTAGATTATATGGAGTCCTGGTGTGGCACTATGGGATAAGTACTGGACTGCAAGGGCAGTTTGAGCCACAAGATCGGTGGTTCAAACTCACTAGCCACTCTTCAGAAACCCTCTACAAGGTCACTATGAGCCAAAACCAACTGGTAAGCAACAACAAAGGAGACAGAGTGGTACAAGCAGTCTGTGATCCACTGCTAACCAAAAGGTTAGGAATTCAAAACAGAGGCTCAGTCAAGAGAACTCCATAGAGCACTGTACTCTGTAATACACTGGGTTACCATGAGTCACAGTCAACTCACCTTCACCTAACAACAACATGGGAATTCCCATTTTAGACTCAAAAACAAACCCTCATACAATAGAGGGACAGGTCAAACTATCCAGTTTTCCCCCCTGCCCTTCAGGTTGAACCCCAGTGAGTCTCCAACAGGTGTCAGGGCTCCTACCCAGGCTCCTCTGCTTTCCTGGCAAACATCCCTTCTCAGGTTCTCAGATACCCATCCTGCCACAGGACCCAAGAGGGAACTCAGACTCCCCAGCCAACAGGAATATCCAAATGCTGATCCAGTGCTGTCCAGTCAATTCTGACTCATAGTGACCACCTAGGACAGAGTAGAACTGTCCTCTAGTGTTTCCAAGACTTTACACCTTTATGGATGCAAACTGCCACATCTTTCTCCAAGGAGCAGCTGGTGAGTCCCAAAGACCTACTACCTTTCAGTTAAGGAGCTCTGGTAGCATAGTGTTTACAAGCTGGGTTGCTATCCTCAAGGTCAGCAGCTTGAAACTACCAATCATTCCAGGGGAGAAAGATGAGACCTTCTGCTCCTGTAAAGATTTACAGCCTCAGAAACTCTGGATAGGGTCGCTATGAGTCAGAACCGACTCCACAGCACACAACCACCACCACTACTTTTCAGTTAGTGCAAAAGTGACAGAAAGCCCCTCTAACTTCCTCTGGCTTCATACGGGAGAAGTAGAATCAAGCTCAAAATCAACCCAAGGCCAATTTCTATGAGACAGAAGTCAAATATGACTCCGTCCTTCACCCTTCTTTGCCCTCTTTTGACATCTCTCCCACAGCACTTCTGCTTCCCACCTGGGTTTAATAATCTGTTGTGATGGCCACACAGAACTCATAGACAATACTCACGATTACGTGGTTTATTAAGGAAGTCAACAAGGTACAATTCAGGATCAAAGTAACTCAGGATACATCAGTTTTCCATCCAGGGATGCATCTACTCTGCCATACTGCAGGCACACTTCGCTCTTGTCTTCAGCCTCTCAGTCATGTGGTCGATCAGCCTCTGTCCTGTGTGGGCAAGTATTACAAAACTCCTTTAATCAGTCTGTGAATGCCCAAAGATCACATTCTGCAAGCCAGCCTCCTTGCTGTAGGCACTCAGCTTTACTTGTCCGTGGGCCAGGAATCTCCGAGCTGCTGAGACTCTCCCTCCAGGCTGGCACCTCTGCTGCTGTCATTTTGCCCGGCAGAGATCTGGTATTCCATTCATGACTCTTCTTTTTTTTTTTTTTAATCTTTTATTGTGAAATATGTGATAGTTTACATGGGAGAACATTAGTTTTACATTCATTCTATCATATATCAGTTCATTGCCATGGTTACAATCCCCTCCATGCATCATCAACCAACCAAAGGGTATACCCTGCAAGCCTGCCCCCCGGTCGTCAGCACGCAGCCCCTCTCCCTCTCTGTATCTAAAGCCCCTAGCTACTCCATCTTTCCACATCA